GCTGAGACAGGAGGGTTGTGGGTTTAAAGCCAGCCTCAGCAAAAGTGAGATACTACGCAACTCAATGAGACCTTGTCTCTAAATAAAATATAAAATAGGGCTGTGGCTATTGTGGCTCAGTTGTTGAATGCCCCTGAGTTCAATCCCCAGTATATCCCTAAAAAAAAAAAAAAAAAAAAAAAAAACACCTGCTCTTACAAAACTCAGTTTTCTGTGGGAGACAGTGAGTTCTTGGCAGAGTATGTGTCTCCCTCTGTGTCCACAGGGCTTGGTTATAGGTTTGGGCTGTCGGGTGGGGAGTATGAGAGTGACCTGTGAAAGGACCTGGGTCCTTATTCTAGAAGGTGTGTCTATATGTGGGCCCCTGATGTCCCTGTTACTTCAGTCTCTCCACCTGCACAGCTCCCACGTCCTCTCCCATCTACTGGAGCTCTCCTCCCCACCCCCAGCCTCTTCTCCACATTGTCCTCCTGCCCCCTCACCGGAGCTTTCCCGCCAGCATACAGGTACGCTGTGCTTCTCCATCTCAAAAAGCCAGCAAACCACAGACTCCAACCCCTCTGTCATTTACCATCCTTTTTTTCTAAATCCTCTTTGAAGAAGAAAAGAAATGTTCAAAAAGAACTGTCTACACAGTTCTCTCCTATCTCATCTTGAACCTGATTGTTGGGCAGAGGGTGAGACTCAGGCCAGGAAGCAGGTTTGGGGCTCTGGCAGTTGAATGAGGATCCAAGGCATGGTGGCAATGGTGGTCATCATTTATTTGTAAGCAGCCCCCATCCAGCTCCCTGACCATTTCCATAGGCCCTTTATATATTATATACAGTCCAGAGAACATGCACTGCCGACAGGTTCCATTAGGGGGCGCCTGCTCACAAGTAAATGTTTATGACCTTGACTGCGCACTGACCTTAACAGCCCATTCCTGACCTTGGCTACATACTGAAAGCAAAACATAGCCCCTGGAAGCCCTGGCCAGGGAGCCTCACACTAGCCTTTTGGGACCAAATCAGACTTCATCACTTCTTCCCCAACACCTGCTCTGCTCCAGGTCCCAGTCACCCCTTCTCTTGAGGACCTCATGTGGCTTCCCCACCCACCCTGGCCCCTGCTCTCTGCTCCATCTTTTCTGGCCCTCCTCTCCAGTCCCTGGGCTCCACTGGGTCCTCTCCTTTTTTCTCTCTACTCACTACCTCGTCCCTCCCATCCAGTGTGGGGACTTGAACAATCTTCCTGTGACAATGATACCCCAATGCACGGCTTCAGCTGAATCCTCCCCACACTCCAATCGGACTCAATTCCTCTGCCCAGAATCCCCCTGTGCAGATCTGATCTCCAGGGTTCACTTCCCAAACCTTCTCTACTTAGTTTCCCTCAAACCAATCAAAGGCAATGCCATGCCGTGGGTTGCTGGGGGCAAGGCTTGCAATCTTGACACCTCCCTCCCTCCCTATGTTTCTCTCTCTCTCTCTCTCTCTCTCTCTCTCTCTCTCTCTCTCTCTCTCTCACACACACACACACACACACACACACACACACACACACACAAACTCAGGGAATCTTGTTGGTGCATCTATCAAAATCTATCAAAATGCACCCAGAATTCAGCCGTTTCCCCACACACACACACACACTTTCTTTTTTTTTATTAGTTGTTCAAAACATTACATAGCTCTTGACATATCATTTTTCATACATTTGATTCAAGTGGGTTATGAACTCCATTTTCCCCCATATACAGATTGCAGAATCACATCAGTTACACATCCACGTCATGGTCATGCTGGCCGATGCTCTGACAAGTCTCATGTCACTCACTGAAACAGTCTCGCCTGCTCCTCCCTCTGTCCTGGCCTCCTCTCAGCACCCACCAGGAACACTTGGACACACAAGATCATGACAGCTCTCCGCTCAGAACCTTCCACTGTGCTAATTTCCTCAGAAAACACAGCCAACCTCCTCACCAAATCTGAAGACTCTGGCCACCCAGAGCCCTCCAGCCCTGGACACCACTGCCATCCTCTGGCTTGATCCACTTATGCAGCTTTCACCCCCTGAGGTTTCTCAACATACGGGGCATCTTTCCATCTCCAGGCCTGGAATGTTCCCTGTGACCGGCAGGCTCTTCCCCCAGGTCCACCACATCTGCCTCCCGCCCTCCTCCACGTCATTCCTGAGTACTTGCCTTCTCAGCAAGGACACCTGAAAACTGACAACTGTGCCTAAAATCCCCAGCATCTACCCAGCACCCTGCTTTCCTCTGTTTTTTATTTGTTTGTTTGTTGTGGTGTTTTTTTTTTTTCTTACCCAGCTTTAAGTGTCTTCTCACACCCAACCCCGTGGACTTACATCCTGCTCACCTCCTGCCTCCTCTCACTAGGACTGACTTCCTCAGGGCAGAGGTGTCTTCTGTTTCCTGCGCCGTCCTAGCTCAGATTCCTAGGGCCAGGCCTGGCACAGGTTTGCTGCTTCCTACTCCACCTCATCAAATGGTTGAAGGCTCCTGCCAACTCCAGTGTGTCCCTAGTACAGGGAGGACATTAGCTGCAATTCATATTCAACCAGAAGGTCGCCTGGGGACAGTCTCCCTCCAATATTCCTCAGAAAAACTCCTCCACAGAGAACCAACCAACCAAGTCCCTGTCA